ACCCGCCCGCGACCAGCCCTGAGGGGCAGGGACTCGCTCTTAACACGCCACCACGAAGGCAGAGCGAGGTCCTACAAAAAACGCGTCCCGGGACATGGGTTATTCATAAAACGCTACCACGAAGCAGAATAACCAGCCCGCGACCCCCCTGAGGGGCAGGGACTCGCTCCTAACACGCCACCACGAAGGCAGAGCGAGGTCCTACAAAAAACGCGTCCCGAGACATGGGTTATTCATAAAACGCTACCACGAAGCAGAATAACCCGCCCGCGACCCGTCCTCAGGGGCAGGGACTCGCTCCTAACACGCCACCACGAAGGCATAGCGAGGTCCTACAAAAAACGCGTCCCGGGACATGGATTATTCATAAAACGATACCACGAAGCAGAATAACCCGCCCGCGACCCGCCCTCAGGGGCAGGGACTCGCTCCTAACACGCCACCACGAAGGCAAAGCGAGGTCCTACAAAAAACGCGTCCCGGGACATGGGTTATTCATAAAACGCTACCACGAAGCAGAATAACCCGCCCGCGACCCCCCTTAGGGGCAGGGACTCGCTCCTAACACGCCACCACGAAGGCAGAGCGAGGTCCTACAAAAAACGCGTCACGGGACATGGGTTATTCATAAAACGCTACCACGAAGCAGAATAACCCGGCCGCGGCCCGCCCTGAGGGGCAGGGACTCGCTCCTAACACGCCACCACGAAGGCAGAGCGAGATCCTACAAAAAACGCGTCCCGAGACATGGGTTATTCATAAAACGCTACCACGAAGCAGAATAACTCGTCCGCGACCCACCATGAGGGGCAGGGACTCGCTCCTAACGCGCAAAGAAAAAATGCAAAGAAGATATGCATGGATGACGGTGTGCAAAAAGGAGTAGAATTAACAAAGGTTGGGAAGACCGCATTAGAGCGGCAATGTCAGAAGTACGGAAAAATACTTAAAGGTTACAGGCATCAAGTTCACAGTCGAGGACATACTCGACTTCAAAATAAAAGAGGCAACACAATGTCTTAAGAGGTGTCTCCGCCGCGGGAACTCGCCTCGTCACCCCCCGCATCCGCCGCCGGATCTTTCTCGGAGTTGACGTCACCTTCAGAGGACCCCCAAGCTACGACCGCATCCCACACGGCATCCGTATCCCACTCCAGATCCGGGTGCTCACGGCGGAACAGATGGCGGATGGAGGCAACGGTATCAGAGATTGCCTTGGATCTTTTGGCGTCATCGATCTTTCGGAAGGCGGGTGATAGCAGATATGACGCAACAGCAGACTTAGCCGCAGCATCAACTTCGGTCTTGTGCCTAAGCACGCTCTCCACCTGAGCCTTCTCTATCTCGTCCACACGTCCGCGCAATCGAGTTACGTCCGCCTCCAAAATCTCTTTGTCAGCCATCAGGGTATTCACTTTCTGGACTCCGCGAGACAGATCCGCTCGAAGATCCTTAATGGTGTCAGCAAACTCCTTCTCCAACTCGGCCTTAGACTCCGCACGGAACGCAGTCCGCCCCTTGAGAGACTCCGCCTCCAGCTCCCCGATCCGCTTTCGCAGTTTCTCCTCCTCCACCTCCCCGCGCAAGCTCGCCATATGGAGCTTCTCGTTGGTCATCCCAATTTGAGACAAGCCAACGCCAGCCTACGAATGCAAGTAATTTTTCCCATCAGGTTATGCACGAAAGTGATAAAAAAAGATTTCAAGTAGCGAATACTTACCGCAAGAAGGAAACGGGCAGCGGTCCCCACCCAGTGCCTGGTCGAAGGATCTTCCGCTTCCGTATACTCGGGCGGGACGAGAAGTTTACTGGATAACTCGTGAAGCATCCGGCGGGCACAATCTTATCGCAGGGAGGAGTGAGTGGAGAAGTCCACTGTCTCGGTCAATGAAGTCGCCTTCGGTTTCTTGCGACCCTCATCATTCTCGCCCGCGGGACTTTCAGCAATACGCTTCCCAAGGTCCCGAACCTTACGTGCAGGCTCAGCACTGGCCTGCACGGTCATCAACCCGCCTGCCCCGCTGGCAAGTGTGGTTTGGACAGCTGACGTGGGGGGCTTACTCAGAGGAACGATCGCTTTTGGAGGGGCGGAGGCGCTAGCAGGAGGCCCGGCTTTCGAGGGAGCCTGGGAAGCGGTTCCCGTCTTGGAGGCAGTGAGCTTCCCCCGCCTTGGAGGCCTTGCCATCATCGCCACGCTCCCAAAGTGCATGGCTACAAAAAGAGAGCGAGTCAAAAACATAGAATGCACACACAATTATAAATGGGAAGCGTATCAATTGCGCTACTGAGTACTGACCATCTCCAAAGAGCTCAGTCAGAATTGACCTCACAGAATCAGTTCCCCCCGACTTCAAGTTAAAAGGAGAGAAATCAGCAAGGCGACCGGCATGGTCCTTTTGAGAATCCAAGGTCCAGAGCTTCACGTCCCAATTTTCCTTCCGGCCGTAGGCGTAGCCCGTCCTAGGCTCCTTGTCACCCGAATACCATTTCGAAGTAGGCTTGGCATAGAAAAAATCTTTAAACCAGGCATTATCAAGCTTGGGAGACCCGGTTACAAAACCATATGCTTTGTCCCGCCTACCGAAGGACCAGACGTTGGAAACCCGTCGGAGGCCATATATAAACCGGAAAGCGGCGAACGACGGTTCAACTCCAAGTCTCTGACACGCCAGCTTGTAGGCACACGCGTGAAAAATAATAGTGGGCGACAATCGGCTAAGCGTGCAATTCAAGCACAGGAGCGTTTGGGTGATAAGGGGTCAAGGGGGAAACGCAAACCCAACTTAAGCTGCTCGGTGTATATGGTTATCCAGCCTTTTGGACACGTGCCAGCTCGGGAAGTCGAAGATGGGGCGGCGTATTTCCAATCGGTCAGGAGCTGGTGGTTTCTAAGGCGGGTGAGGATCGTTAAAGGTGTAAGCTTGCTGTACCTGTCAGGCCCCCGTTCGAAAGCACGAACGGGTACTTCCCGCTTCCCCCACATATGCTCGTGCAAACGTATGTGGTATGTGTTATCCGCCACCGCCGGGTAGCTCTGATCCGAGGAGTCCTCCGAAAGGTCAATGGAAGGCGAGTCAGGCTGCTCGGGAGAATTTTGCTCATCAATACTAAGCCCCCCATCAGAACTCACGCTCGCTACGGAGACGTCATCAAAACTTGCCAGATTATCCCCCATGGCGGAAGCGTCTCCCCTAGGTGCTACATTTTCTACGCCCACACCCAAAGCAACATCGGTCAATTCATATGACCCGTCCCCAACTCTACCCAGCAAATACCGACCATCGTCCGACCAAGAGCCACCAAAATCAAAATCTATCTCACTAAAATCCCAGTCAAGACCAAACGTACTAAATGGCGATAAAGAGTTCAAGTGGAGCATACCTTGAGCGGCGGCGTTATAGGATCTGTAACCGTGTCCGACGAGTCCAGATTGATCGTCATGGGAGTAGGGGTGGACGATGCGGCAGCGGCGGTGCCGCGGTTTCTAGAAACAGCGGCGACGATGCCGGCGGCTGACCTTTTCCGGCTAGGCGAAGACCCGGAACCGACGGACGGCGGCGGAAGCGATGATCCATCTTCTCCAGCCATTGTCAGAAACGCCAAAATGGAAGCAAACACGGATAATTGGAGGAATAGAAGGCTCGCTGCAACAATGGCGACAGTCGAAAAGAAAAAGGTCTGAAGAGTAACCGACTGGAAAAAGAGAGAATCAGAGCATCAAAGCAAGGAAGAAGAGAAGAAATACCTCCGGTCGATTCTCTGGGTAGCTTTTTAAATGAGAGGGCTCGGTTTCCAGAGGTGACGGTTCGCTAACCCTAGGGAGGGCTATATAGCGTAATCATATCAACGATCACTTCTGTTCCGTGGAAAATCGTGTCGTCAGACACGTGGCAGTAAGAGGATAGGAACGGCCCGAGGCGTTCGCCCCCGATTTGACGCCCGGGGGGGAAGGTTTCCCTAGGCGGTTCCTTGATTTAGAGGGTGATCCCGCCCTGAGTTTAAAAGACCAGCCGCCCAAACCCGGGGGCTTTACCCGCCTGCGGGACAAATGTTGGGCCGGAATGGATCGCCATCTAAATCAAGGCCCGTGGACATAGGAGGTGGCCCAAAAGGGAAAAAGCCGAAAGAAAGCCCAAGCGTGAGTAGGGCCGGCCCAATCTCCGATCGGGACAAGCACAACGCGTTAACGCCTAGGAGGAGCACGACTGGTGGGGCCAGAATACTGACAACGCATTAAATAACGTCGTGGGCGTGCCTCGGGGAATGAGTACGAGGTATTGGATCTAACAAGGTGTCAGGAGGACAGGGTATAAATAAGGAACAACCGCCACATTTAAGAGGGGCTGCCATTTACTCACTCTCACTCTATTTTTCCTCATCCTCTCTCTCTCTCTCTACTCTTTCTCTCTCTGTTTACTCTCTCTCTCTCTCTCTCTCTATTTACTCTCGCTCTCTCTACTTACCATCTATCTCAGCTGTTTACTTATCCCCCCACACTAACTTAAGCATCGGAGAGCGTCCCGGGCCACGCCCCGGACCTTTTCTGCAGGACACGGAAGCCTCCCATATCAAGAAGTCCGCGGATTCCTCACTGGTCTTCACAAAACCGCCTGGCACTTTCTAGGCGTAAACAGTTTTCACTCTAAAATTGTCCAGCAAAGCCTAAACCCGGGAGCAAACCAATCTCATACCGTTGCATGAAAGCATTCAATCTGTAGCGTCCCCCAACCACGGAGATATCCAGTACACCAGCTATGTCCAAGATGCTCACGAGTCACGAATCACTACAACGGTACAACCACAATACGCCCTTCATGTGATTAGAGACTGCCCCTGTGCAAGAACATCCCTTCTCTCTGTTGTTCGTTCTTCGCAACGGAACTCCAAGAATAGTTTCCTACGATTTTGATTCGTGAATGAGCAGAGATTACCCCAAAGGTTCTCTCCGGTCTCTACAACGTTACTTCGACTTGTTTTCCAAATTCCGTCACATCAAACAAATATAGCAAACCTATATAACAAACTACAAAAACATAGACAACAGCAGAAGAAAGAAAAAAACACAACTATGAATTCAGGTCTCGATGGACATAAAAGAACGAACTTGTCATGGTAATAATAAAACTTTTTACAGAAACAAGCCCTGCTGATAGACTGCAAACACAGCTGATGACCGGACATTCAAGAGCTAGTTAGCATTTTAAAATGCAGCATTATGTTCACGAAATTAGGAACCAGAACAATCTGTTTTCAACAGCATTTTTTATTGCACGAAGGGAACCTGTTCCGAGTCTCAATTTTAGGTACACAGTTTGATACCACCACTGAAGAACTCCACACTTCTTTGGCTATTCGGATGCATACCTGCAAACCCAGCAAAGTTCATTTCTTAGATCTTTGCTGTCATCCATATACCATACACAAGATCACTCCAGTGGAATAACTAGATAATTTTCCTTGCAACAACAGCACGTGTTAAGTTGTACAAATGGGTAAATGTTCAACATTGGCCATCAAACTAACAACATTGCGAGCGATACCACAGACATGCCAAAAAATTTCTTGGTTTCGACTGAAGCAAATTTTATACCATGTTAAGACACTGGTGCTGATATGAGACTATTTCATAAAAGAGGTAAATCAGCTAGGGCTAATCATGGTGACATTGTAGAACTCCACATCATTGCAACCGATAGGTAAGGATCTCAGCTCCATTCGAATTATATCATTGTTGAAAGACCATCTCACACATCATTCAAGGGTAGCATTCCCTTCATTACTAGTTCTCCTACTTGCATACTTCCTCAATAGTCATTCAAGTCTCGATGCGACAAAACATAAGATAAATTATCACTACGTATTGATTGAGTGCATCTAAACAGAAACAAAATAGGAAATTGTACATAGTGTCCATGGCCATGATCATCACTGTGGCCATCCCATGGATGTCTCCAGCCCTAAAACACAGACCGCGAAACACAATCACATCAAGGAGCAAAGCCCCAAAATCTCAATAACAATGCTAAACAAAAGAAATTTGCTCTTACCAACACCACAGGACCATCCTGCTTAGCCCTGTACAGAACCCAAAACCTGAATCGACAGAATCCATCACAAAGAATCAGATATCCGCATTTAAAAGCTCCATTACATGCTTCAAAACACTATAGATAGCATTTCTTGTAGCTTATTTTAGTGTGCAATCAATTTGCCAAGCTCAATACACGAGTTCTTTGCAGTCCCTATACAGATTCACCCAGTCATCAAACCCATTAGGTCCACCTACTTATCTCAATGCATTTAAAGTGAATCCCTTAACAGCAGAGCTGTATTGTTTTTGAATCCATTTCCAGCAACATACCATTCGTTTCCAGCTCCATACAGCAATCCGACATGCATTTCCACGACCATTGATGAATTCAATCCACTACTAACCTTCACCCCAATAAATCCCATTCCCCATTCAACAAATCCTAACAGATTCGATCTGAGCACCCAATTCGAGTCCTAACGGATAGATAGATAGCATTCATTTCAGCTCCATTGATCAACCCACAGCGAAATCAATTAACCAAATCAAGAAACGGAGAAAATGAAGGGCAAAAAGAAAGCTCAGAGAGACTGCAACAGTTTTCATAGGAGGACCAGGCGAAGGAGAAGTAGAAAACGCACCACATGACGGCGCAGAGGCCCTTTCCGGTGACCGTGTGCCACCGCTTCGGCTGGTGCATAGTCAAGCCCTTGTAAGTGATGCCATCGCCGTGCCCTCCGCCCATCGCTCGATCGATTAAACCAAATCACAGTCCGTAAATTGGTGGAGAACGAAATCGGTCTTTCCTCCTGGAGATGTGATTGCTAACGGAGTTTTCAACGAACCTCTCGCCTTTCTCCTTCGATGTTTGCCTGCCTACCTGCCTGCCTGCGCCCTGCGGTGCGTTGTGCGCATTCGATTCGCTCATCGGTCTATCGGGCCTGATATGGCCATCAATTCTTGGCCCAAAGAAAGACATCGTAGCCCACTACAAGAGAAGTTCATTACATTTTCACATCAGATGCTACAAAGAAGCCACATTGATCAATTCTTGGAAAAGTGATTATCCAATTCCGGTGGTAATTTGCGTATGGACAAAAAAATTATAATTAATAGTTCGGGATACTCTGAAATTTGAAAAATTATTAGTGTATTCTCGTTTGTAGTTTGCGTATGGGAATATAAGTGGTAGTTTGGGTAATTCAAATCCGAGACACTACTATTATTAATAAATACAATTTTCTTCAGGCTACAACTTTTTTGTCGTTCTATTCTAAACACTGTGTAATAGCAAAACCATATTCTCTATCTTTAATTATTTTCAAAACCTAACAATCAATCTAATTGCAAGCTACCCTTAATTTGTATTGATTTTATGGTTGTATGACAAGTGTTAAAGTGTCTTTTCAGCTTTGAGTTACATCTAGAACAAATTTACAACTTTAATATGCGCCAGTTCGTGAATGATTGTCTAGCAGGATATATCGAGAGAAATTTGTTGAGCAGTGTAGACACCAAGTGTATTTTACAATTTTTTTAGAATGTGAAATACATCATAGTCTTTTTTTTTAACTTGTACGAGTTGTATATTTTCTAATTTAAGAATTATTTAATTCTATTAATTTTATTTTAATTTATTTTTGAAAGAGGACACCCCATGTAAAATTTGTGGGTCCGATACAGCTTGACATAATCCTAACATTTTCAAGCTAATGGAACTCTATTGTAATTCATGAATCCGATCAATTTGTCAACTCTTCCTACAATATCAAAATTGGGAGATCTTTCTTGTACGACAAATATTCGAAGACAACCTTTATGTCGTTAACTTGTGTATCTATTACTAAAATTGTATGGCTCAAAGCAAGCATCAAGGCAATGGTTTGCTAAAATCACTTTCGCTCTCCTGAGTTTTGGTTATACACAATCCAACCGTGAAGTAATATTGACTTGACAACATGATACTGACTTGGAAGAGATTCATGAAGGTCAACATTCCAAAAGTTTAATAATTTAACTAAGAAAAGATATACAAAATTATTAACGATAACGCAAAAAATGCTAATACTTTGATACATTATGAAAGATTTGGATAATTAATAGAATTTTAATAGGTTTGGATAAAATAAAAGAATATGAAAAAGGTTTGGATAAAAAATAGACATTGCCCTTTTTATTGATAATGAGTAGGACATGGTTGATCTAATGTAGTTTTTGCAATCTCAGTTTAAGATTTGTGATCGCGGCACACATAATTATTCTTGGGGCTTGAGATTGCTCGATCACGGGGGAATGAATATTTTTCATAACACTAACTTGTTAGAAGATACTAGTAGATATGCAGACTCCAAACCTGTGATTACTTGAGGATGAAATTCTCTTTAGGAAGATCATTGTACGATTACACTATTTCACCATCACAATTCACACGTCTTGGCCATACCATTTATGTTTAACAATTGTGTTATTATCAAGCTGCTCCAACTACCACACATATGTAACTTGTTATAGGATACCTCAAGAATGCTCCAGGACAAGGATTATAAGTATGACATGCTACTAAGGGGTATAATGGATCGGAATGGGTTTCTTGCCCGGATACAAGGCGCTTAATGATAAGATATCGTGTTTATTTGAACATATAATTAATCATCTGAAAAATCCAAGATACAACAAGATTCTGAATTCTTATTTAACATCCTAATTTTTTAAAATTTAATCCACCAAACCCGCAATTGAAAAGAAAAAATAATGACGTCATTTAATATATAATCCTAATAATTGAATAATTTATTAACATTAATAGTCTTTATAGTTCAAATAATACGGTTAATTATTGATATTCTTAAGTTTCATAGCAATATAGTTATAGATTTTATTTTATATAATATATGGACGTGCGTCTTAGGAAAAATTATCCGCGATTATATTTGTGAACCAATAGGTACCATGCACCTACTTGTATCCATTGGATCGGGTTGAATTTTCTCTTCCAGAACACAATATATATATTGCCGATTTTTTACGCGGATAATGCACCTAAATTATATATGAATTTGGAAAACCGCCACCTATTACCATCCCTAGTAAGTCCTAACTATAAGCCAGTAAGTATGAAAGCAAGTAGATATTTCCACATGTGTGGAATAGGAGTGGCCTTATGACCAATAAACATCGTAGAGCAAACCATTGTGAGCCACACACATGGTAAGTTATAAAGTTAATGGGAAAAGAAATTCTCGAAAAGCTCCTGAAACCAACACAATAATTTTGAAAGCCAGAAGCAAATAAAGCTCCAAGAAAGTAAAAGGCGCAGATGCAATTGGGACAAAGAAACCCTACCACTAAGGACTATTTACAGGCAGAAAGAAAGAAACAAGGCAATGGCCGGGTAGCTTCCGATAATCCGGCCATCGCCAGTATACACTATTACTACCAAATGGTATTATGTAAAGTAGGTCGATACTCATACTACAACAAACAAAGGAAGCTTCCCATCATAAAAGACACTTATAGTCTACCAGACTACCACTATCATAAAAACAATGTTTATTTTCTCGTTTGTATAATGTAATTATACGTTTTATCTATGACTAAAAAGAAAACTTGTCTGGAAAATCTTGAGAGATCCCGATATAGTACATGTGTCAAATTATGTTAAAATTTGGAGATTTGTTACTATTGCGATTACAAGATAGATAATAAGATCATGATTGAATAATTCCTCTCTCATCTTCTCGTCTTCCACAGTAGCTGTTGGTTTAGACCCATGACAAAAAAAAGAGGAATTTCATACATGAAATCAGGTACGAATACATTAATTAACAGATATTGAATGATCTTGAGATAGATTCTTATAGTATTGTACGAAAACATGATCGAGGCTCTTGTGTGCCACGACCTCATCAGGTATTACAAACGAAAACCAAGAGTGTCTCACTGTCTCTTATGTTAAATCGAACTATCTCTCGAGTTATTAAGATGAGATGATTACTGTCAATTTGTTCTGCCGCCTCCTAGCTACCTTCCTTCAGTCTTATTGGATTGGCGAGCACTTTATATGGTGCAAATTGCATAGTGTTCCATTTGAATATACGTCGACGGTAGGGTTTCAGAAGAAAAGCGTGCAGCCAGAAAAAGAAACGGAAGCCATTGTTGAAAGGCAACTAGCTAGCTCTCGCCCTTTGTGAATTAAGTGTAAAAATAGTCGTCAATGGCTTTGTTCTTTAGACCGCTTTACATGCAATGGTCCCAAAAGCAGCAAGTAGTTTGTTTGACGTTCAACGGATGATTTCAGCAACCTACGCTTGCGATTCCGTCATCCTACTTAGCTTTCTAATTTCTTAATTACAATTTACAACTAGTTTACCAATTAACCTAAGGGATAAACTAACTCATTCTTAACTATGATCGATGATGATTGAGGATTAGCATATATATATATACATCCAAAAAAATTGAGATCAGCTTAGGCCACAGAGAGATGGTGATAATTGAGTGATCATGTATGTGATTCAACAGTTTCCAGTGTATTATTGCTTTTAATTGAGCTGACTCATGTTTAGTATAGATCTATATCCTTAATTTTAATAAGATAAACAAGAAAAATGAAGAGACTGCACGAAAATTGTCTGGAGAATCTCCTTGTATTTTTAGGATTTAGGGGCTTAACATTTAGAAATTTAATTTAGGGTTCGTGACCTACAGCAATGCATGAATAGTATAGTCTTGAGTTATATCATCTATTAGACTAGTGATGAAAATAGAAATTTAAAATTCAATAATTAAAGGATACTTTTAAGTTAGGATAAATAATTGTTTTTATTAGTATAACGTAGTAGCCACAGTATATATAGGCGAGTCTGATGCAGGAATGGTAGTGGGGCAGGTCATAGGCGAATATATATTTCGATACACATATCCACCCCATGATAGGTTAGGTTCAGGTCGGGTAATTTATCACGGGGCGTAGGTCGGAACAGGTTGACCCACATATAATTTAAAAGGTAAACATTAAAAATATTCATTTTTCATTAAAAACCAAGGAACAAACTATGATATGATAATTGTACTTGCATTATTCTAGAAATTGAGATTCTCACATATTTGCAACTTCATTATAGCTAAAATGTGAGGTAACAAAAGTAAAATTTTAAGTATTTTAAGTAATATTACATGTAATATAAACAAAAATGAGCCGAGAGAATTGGGCGAGTCAGTACAGGTCAGTCGAGAAAAGTACCCCTCCCTCATCTACGAAACGAGTAATTCAAACAAATCGGATAAAACAGATGATGTCGAAATTTTCATCCCTAATCTAGTGTATTTTATGCGTATCACCTACCTCTACCACTACTCCTAGTGTCCTACGCCTAAATTATATAGCTCGATCGGGAAACTTCGAGGTTACGGCCTATGAGTATGACCGACAACACTGCGGACAATAGAGCAAAAACTAGTGAGATATGACGAAAGCACGTCTATAGTGTCTATATATAATATATGAAAGCAGCAGCCATGCACACACGACTGGTAAATGCATGGGCCAGTCAAAATGATTACTCCATACTTTTCCCATGGTCATAAAATGGTTACTTAGCTTAATATGGATCATTAATACATCAATATTGCCCAACTAAACTTTTATAACTAACAAAAACTGCTACACAACTTTGGAATATCGAACATACCACCTCGCTCAGATTATTCATATCAATATGCCAACAAACCAAATCAATGAAAGTATGTAGAACTACTCAAACGAATTCCTCGAACCACATCAATACTCGAAAAAACATGACCGAGACGGATTTGATGACTACGGTGTGAATCATTCCTCATTCCTATCCTCGAACCACATCAATACTCGAAAAAACATGACCGAGACGGATTTAATGACTACGGTGTGAATCATTCCTCATTCCTAACTTTAGGGACATAATTTTTTAAAAAAAGTGTCAACATGGCCTGATTTCTTACTAAATCCGAAGTTTAGTGGCCGTTTAACATTATATATTGACCAACTTTTCCTCCCACTCAACTCAACAAACCCTTGTGACCCCATGCATTGCATGCTCAAACCTTACCTACTCAGCCTGCACTTAACTTATTTAAGTTATTACCAACAACATAATCCAAGAATTCAAAGTAATAACTTATTATTAATCAATTCTAATCAACCTACTTAATAAAACAAAAAACCACCCCTCCTATAAATACTATAGCCAACTCTCATCACGACCTACAGCCAAGCTCCAAAACTACAATTTCCATTCCACAAGCAGAAACATGGGAGATGAGGTAGCTTTGGAAATGAACACTATTTCTTCAAAAAGCCCCATAGCTTCTGTAATCTCCAACGTGCAGTCTTTTTACACCTTAGAAGCAGCGGCCGGCAACAAGCTCGCTGCACAAGAGCCATGGCTTCCGATCACAGAGTCAAGAGACGGCAACGCCTTCTACGCAGCGTTTCACGCGCTTAGCTCGGGGCTCGGGTTCCAGGCCCTCCTCCTTCCTCTCGCCTTCTCATCCCTCGGCTGGACATGGGGGATCTCGTGTCTGTGCGTTGTTTTCGTGTGGCAACTCTACACCATGTGGCTGTTGATCCAGCTGCACGAATCGGAGTCTGGGGCACGATACAGCAGGTACCTCGGATTATCGATGGCTGCTTTCGGTGAGAAGTTTGGGAAGCTGCTGGCCCTCTTCCCCGTAATGTACCTATCAGGAGGAACCTGCGTGACCTTGATCATGATCGGCGGCGGCGCCATGAGAACGTTCTTCCACATCATCTGCAACATCGTCGGCGTTGGCTCGCTGACCACGATAGAGTGGTACATGGTCTTCACTTTCACGGCCGTTCTTCTAGCTCTGTTTCTCCCCAACTTGAACTCTGTAGCCAGAGTTTCCCTCGTCGGAGCGATCACCGCCGTTAGCTACTGCACATTGATATGGGCTGCGACAGTAGTCCAAGGCAGGGTGGCTATTGATGATCATCATCATGTAGCTGTTTCGAGAGGGAGCGACGGAGTTATCGATCGGATTTGTGGTGTTCTTAATGGCGTTGGGATCGTGGCTCTGGCTTTCAGAGGCCATAATCTCGTCCTCGAAATACAGGTACAACTATATAAAGTTCAGTAAGATTGATGATTAGTTTACAGTAAGCCAAGGGACTAAATTGCTTCGTTTCTTTCTGAAGGGCACGATGCCGTCGAGCGCGAAAACGCCGTCGAGGGAGCCAATGTGGAGAGGAGTTCAGATTGCTTACTTGATCATAGGCCTCTGCTTGTTTCCCCTTGCTATTGCTGGCTATTGGGCTTATGGGGACCTTGTGAGTACAATAAGTCAATAACTAGTCTCAGTTGACTATTCGAGCCAAAGTTAATTACTGCTCAAAATGTTGTGCTGTAAAAATTGAACAGAACAGAACACTAAATTGACAGTTTTGCTGCTACAAATAGTTACTGACTCACCGTATCTGTTTTGGTTGGGAAGATCCCAGAGGGAACCGGAGCAATGTTGCAAGCTTTGTACAAATACCACGGGCGGGACACATCCAAGTTGATACTCGGTTCAGCAAGTTTGCTGGTCGTGATCAACTGCGTCAGCTCCTTCCAGATCTACGCGATGCCGACATTTGACAACCTCGAGCTAAGATACACCAGCAAGATGAACAAGCCATGCCCACAGTGGCTTCGTTCAGCGCTCAGACTGTTATTCGGGTGCCTGACCTGCTTCATCGCGGTGGCTCTCCCATTCCTGCCAAGCCTGGCCGGGCTGATCGGAGGGATTGCCCTGCCGCTCACCTTGGCGTATCCGTGTTTCATGTGGATTGTGATGAAGAAGCCAGGCAGATACAGCAGGAGCTGGTGTTTGAACTGGATTCTGGGCGTCTCTGGGATGGTTCTCAGTGTGCTTGTGGTGACCGCGGCCATTTGGATTATCGTCACGAAGGGTATTGGAGTCCATTTCTTCAAACCCTAGAGAGAGTAGTTACAGTCTTTGCTAACTCAATGTAAAAGAAGTAAGCACAACCATAGTCTTATTGCTAGCTCGAGGTAAAGAAAGGGGAAGTAAAGCACAACCATTTCCCCAATTGTATTCATGGTGAAAACTTGAAACCCCACATTCTGCGCCTTGAGCATTTCTCTTTACAGTAGTTGTACATCAATTCTTGTAAAGAAACATAAAAATTGCCCCGAGCAGAATTACACATCCGTTCAGTGAAGAATATTGATCTCTCTGTAGAATTCGTCCCTCCCTTCAAGTATGTCTACTACTACTTGCAAACTTTCGAGAGATGCAGCCATTAAATGTTAAACCCTGAGCACCATGAAAGAAAAAAGTACCTCGAATAAAGCAATGGTCGCAAAATTTCCATGACGAGTTACTCTGAGAATCGGCGTTTGTTGAGTTCACCGGCTTGTCTTTTGCTTTCAGGTAAAATCTGTGTAGAATCCACCAACAAACCTAGACAGAGAGATTGCTGGGAAGCGAACACCAGCAGTTTACAAGCTCTGCATAACTAAAACTCCCAGAACAAAAGGAGTTACTACTTTTGTTTTGCCCTTTTACATGGATAGAGGCAGAAGCATTCTTCGTTTCTTCTTCCTTGCTAGCCTAACTTGCTTCGTCACTTTCATGCATAGCACCAATATTAACGTGATGCAGACTAAGATGAAGGCAAGTCGCATGTGCCTAAAGTATAAAGATACGGCTGAGAAGACCAGGAAGGCTAGAACGACGAGTTCCCATATGACGAATATGACAACATCAACCCTGCACAAGAAGGGTAAAACCAGAATCAGCTGTCATTCCCTTGTAAGAAAACAGAACAATAAATCCAAAACATGAATGTAACTATGGCATTATAAAGCAATCGTTTATAGATCTAACAAACCTATCTGTATCGCAATAACCATCGACAGCCCAATTGAAACTTCTTAACAGATTATGCTATCCTACAGTCAGGGGAACAGAAACCCCTCATGGGCCATAAGCAAGCCATGAACAGAAATGGAAGCTAAAGAGGTTTCATATGGTCAAGCAAACGACTTCCTACTATCTCCACGATAAAATGTTCATCACAACTTCATTTCCCCAAATCAAGTAAACTATATACCATACTCTCCCCTAACAGCATCTCATTATGTACTGGAAAATGGGGAATTTAAGGGTGCCGAATGCCAACACATCGACAACTCAACAATGAATACATCTTTCACACCAAAAAAGAAAACAATGAACACATCTCAGCTACAGAGCAAGAAAAGGGCTCAGCAAGACACACTTCTTGAAAGATAGTAACCAAGAAAGACACAGATTGACTACTTAGAGTATGACTAACCCCAAAAGCTCTAGTCTTTCTTAACCTTTAACTTCATAAGGTAGAATATCAGAAAATCGCCAACAGTCACTTTCTTAGTTTCTAATTGACATCTAGTAAGCATAAGAAGACGCAAACAATTGGGAGAGGATCACATCAAACCCACTGAATTTCTGCTCATAATACCAAACAGGAACTTCCTTCCCTGCATAGACCCTAACTACAGAAATTCCAGTCCAGAATTTCCTGAGAAAAGCTCAAGCTCTCAGCCTAGGCAGTAGGCACACGCAATAGACAAGCTGATCTGATCGAATCAGGCGGAATCGCGAAAATCCGTACTTCTCCGCCCCCAGAATTCACAAGGCAATCGGAAGCAAGATTCAAGAACAAACAAAGAAATGGCGGTAAGGAACTCCGAATTCAAGAGAATTACCTCGAGTGACTGAAACTATTCGAAGTGGAGGAGAAGAAGGAAACGGAGGCCCAATCATGCTTGGATCGAATCTGGTACTCCCTCAACTGCTCCGCTAGATTCGATCTCGTGATCATCTCTAACCTCCCGCGTCTTTTCCCTTTTCCTTTCGTTGTTCCCTCCGGATTCTCGCGCCCTTTCACTTGCTCGTGCTCCGGCGACGTCGGACGGAGAGAATTGCGCAGCGGAGGGGCGCCGGAGATCGAGGTCGACGGCGGAAGAAGGAAGAAGAGACGGCCGAAGCGGAAGGAGGAAAAGAAGAGACACGGAGGAGAAAGAGTCGCGATTTGTTTTCGCGGCCACTGCTGGTGTTCCGTGGACCTTCTCCCAGCCTAACTTTGCTCCCCCCTCCGTCGCTCGCTCTCTTTTAGGCTTTCCTTTTTTTCGTTTCTTCAAGGGGTCCGGATCCTATCAGTAACCGACCTATCAGTAACGGTCAGTAACCGATGATCCGGCCGTCCATCGCGCCATCTTCCCAGCCGTCAGATCAGGCCACTTAAAATACACGCGGGGGCAAAAACGTAATCTCGTCTCTGACAATTTGAATTGCAGACGTGACAGCGACAACCGTCCCGCCTTCTCTCCTTCTTCCTCTCACCTTTCAAGCGACAGTTCCACTTCCCTCTCTGCTCTCTAACTCTCCATTCTTCCTCTCGATTCTCAATTCTCTCACCAAAATCGCAGCAAAAACTTCCAGAAAAAACTTCAAATCGAACGATTTTCGCAAAGGATTTCGAAGAATCATTCAACGATACACTGTTCTCGCTTCTTCGTCGAAAAACGAAGAGTTTCCAACTTCAACGAGGCTCAAAAATCGTTTTCGCACAAAATATCAAGGTAAAACCTCACTTCTTTCTTCGAAAATCCATCCACAGAACAATAGAACAGTATCGCAGTCACTCTCCATGCGTTGCTGAACTGATGTAGAATCTGTTGTGTTTTGCTTCATTACCATATGGTAATGAGTGGTAAATTAAGATTGCATGTTCTAAAATAGCGAAAAACCATAAGTCCTGCTGTGTTTTGTTCGTTACCATATGGTAATGTGTGGTAAGTTATGATTGCATGTTGTAAAATAGCAAAAAACCATAAGTCCTGCTGTCATTTAGTTTGTTACCATATGGTAATGTGTGGTAACCTATGGTTTCATGTTGTAAAATAGCAAAAAACCATAAGTCCTGCTGTGTTTTGCTTCTTTACCATATGGTAATGAGTGGTAAACTATGGTTTCATGTTGTAAAATAGCAAAAAACCATAAGTCCTGCTGTGTTTTGCTTCGTTACCATATGGTAATGTGTGGTAACCTATGGTTTCATGTTGTAAAATAGCAAAAAACCATAAGTCCTGCTGTGTTTTGGTTCGTTACCATATGGTAATGAGTGGTAAACTATGGTTTCATGTTGTAAAATAGCAAAAAACCATAAGTCCTGCTGTGTTTTGCTTCTTTACCATATGGTAATGTGTGGTAAACTATGGTTTCATGCTGTAAAAATGGAGGAAAACATACATCTTGTTGTGTTTTACTTCGTTACCATATGGTAATATGTTATAAGACATGGTTTGATGTAATTACCATATGGTAAAATGAGATAAATATATGGTTTGATTTGGTATGGTATGAAACCATTATGGTACCATATGGTATATCATGATAAAAAGCACGCTAACAGACTATTCCTAATTTCTACATTCAGGTACACTATGGTAAACCAAAGAAAAAAATTTCGCACAAGGTGCAGCCCAACAAGAATATCTGCAATTACAAGGACTATAAAAGATGACCAGAAAGAGAAACTTGAGACATTAGGCCTAGCAGGCTTAATGTCAATCAAGCAGACAAAGATAAACACCCATTTTGCACTGTTCGTAATGAACAAATACAATCCAATGAAACAATCTTTCAAGCTACCTGACGGGACACGCATGAAGATATCACCAATTGACTTTCATAGGGTATATGGTCTGCCAATGGGGAATAGGGAAGTTGTACCTCCCACGATTTCTTGGGACGATGCAGCAGATTATGCAGTAGAAACCCTACTGGAAGTAGATGGAGCATCCACTCCAAGGGTAAAGCTAAGTCAGGTAGAAAAAGATCTTTCTACAGTTACCAACAGTAAGAGATGGTTACAATTGTTCTTTCTGCTGGTCACCGGAGGCTTGCTGTGCCCAACTTCAGCCCCTATGGCTGAACTCAACATGCTTGAGTACTTGAAGACTGATGAACAGAAACATTTCACCAGCTACAACTGGTGCAAATACTTCTTCAACCACATGAATGAAGGATTGAAATCACCAAAGTTCTACGTCAATGCAGATCTTCACTTCCTTACAGTAAGTCTCCATTCCCTTGGCCATTTCAACCTTGTTACTCATATATTTTATATATAAATGATACTCTTTGAAAAAACTAATACAACTATCTGCATAAAAAGGTATGCTTCATGTACAAACTGGACGAAATGGCATTCTCAACCCAGCTTCGAACACCAACAGTAAGCTACTATGATGATAACAATGTTGATAGCAACTTTGAGAACATTAAGAGCTACTACAATGGAAAACAGTTGAACGAGATCGAAAAGATTACCAACATTAGAGACGATGAGGCTGATGATGAGGCTGATGATGAGGCTGATGATGAGGCTGATGACGCAGCTGATGTCGCAGCTAATGAGGAAGAGGAGAATGAGCCAGTCTATGAATCACCGAAAAGACAAAGAAACAAAAGTCCCGAGCAGTCATCATCACTGAACTTTGATTTGAAGAAAATCAGAACAGTCAACCAAGTAAGTACAAATTATCTATATACCAGTTGTCCAATACATGCTAAGCGTAAGTCCTGTGTTTTACTTTGTTACCATATGGTAAAGTGTGGTAAGCTATGGTTCCATGTTATAAAAATGGAGCAAAACATAAGTCCTGTTGTGGTTTACTTCGTTACCATATGGTAATGTGTGGTAAGCAATGGTTTCATGTTATAAAAATGGAGGAAACCATAATTCTTGTTCTGTCTTACTTTGTTACCATATGGTAATGTGTGGTAAGCTATGCTTTCATGTTTTAAAAATACAAAAAACAACAAGTCCTTCTGTGTTTTAGTTTGTTACCATATGGTAAAGTGTGGTAATCTACGGTTTCACGTTATAAAAATGGAGGAAAACATAAGTCCTGTTGTGTTTTAATACGTTACCATATGGTAATGTGTGGTAAGCAATGAATTCATGTTATAAAAATGGAGGAAACCATAATTCTTGTTCTGTTTTACTTTGTTACCATATGGTAAGGTGTGGTAAGATATAGTTTCATGTTATAAAAATACAGAATAGTGATAATAATTGCCAATACCATGTATTACCACCATGGTAACTAACCATACTCCCATTATGCAGGCTGAGAATGCAATCAAACTGGTTGAAGCATCAATGAAGGCAATGATGAAAGCAATCAAAGAGCAGTACAACAGCCAACTAAACAAGCTGATCAAACACAAAAAGAATCTTCAGAAAGAAAGGTCTGATGAATATGTTCAGCCCCCAGAAGGAGAAAAATCTGACGATCAAGTAGTAGGACCAGACAATGAGTGTGAAGATGATGAAGAAGAGAATGATGAAGAATTGAATGCCAGTTTGAATAAAACAATCAATGAAATATTCAAACAGACAAAGATATACCAGAACGAAGAGGAGAACGAGGAGCAAACACAGAAAGAAGATGATTCACAACCATCTACAGTCGATCTTGCTGCATCTACACCGAAGCCAAAAGAAAAGGAGCAAGATGATTCTGCTCCAGGAGCTGTGAATAGGGAAAGCATCCCAAAAGAAGGAGATCCATTGGGGGAAGTTGCAACAGAGGACACCCAGAAAGCAGTTCCAGAACAGACATCTGCAGAAGAAACCGAACAAAAAGGAGCTACCAAAACAGCAGATCCAATGGAAGTTGATAAGGAAACAAGAGAAGAAGGGAATACAGGGCAAGCTGCACAAAAGACTGCAGAAACTGACAGCGAGAAGACGGTGTCAGATGATGTTGTTCGTGAAGAGGCTCCAAAACTGACAACCGAAGCTGCTGAGAAGCCTAAAGTGACGAGGGAAGACGACATTCCATCCTTTGATCTCAGCCCTCTCAACCGTCAAACACCAACAACACCAACAAAGTTGACTACCAACACGGCAACCGATCAACCAGCAGAGCCTCGCAAAAGAAGAATCGTGATAAAGAATGTACACGGAAATGAAAAGAAGGCAAGAGCAACACCACCACCAGAACAGCCACAAAGCACCCAGTCACAGACGGGGTCATATGCTATATGGTCAAATCTGTACACAAACAGCCAAGAGAAGCTCAAGGAAGTCCGTGAATGCATAGATGCTTACCTAGAGGACCTGAATTCTCCAGCTGCCGACCCAGTTGCTCCACAGTCACAAAAATCACCAGTTGAATGGTCAACACCAACACAAACAACACCTGATGATATGTTCAGCAACATCCTGGAGTACATAAGATGCAAAAATAAGAAATTTGCCAAGAGGTAAGTCATCATCTTAAAACTTCTACTGTTATATGATGTTATTGTAGTGATCTAGTTTGTTACCATATGGTAAAATATGGTAAGATATGGTAAAATTAGACAAATCTATGGTTTAATGTTACAAAATGTAGTAATGCACAAGTCCTGTTTTGTTTTAGTTTAATACCATATGGTATGATGTGGTAAGCTAATGTTTGTTGTTAAATAATGGATTAAACCATAACTCCTGTTCTATTTTACTTATTACCATATGGTAAAATGTGGTAAGCTGGTGTGTTTCACTTATTATCATATGGTAAGATGTGGTAAGCTGGTGTGTTTTACTTATTACCATATGGTAAAATGTGGTAAGCTGGTGTGTTTTACTTATTACCATATGGTAAGATGTGCTAAGCTGGTGTGCTTTACTTATTACCATATGATAAGATGTGGTAAGCTATGGTTTTGTTGTGGTAACCTATTGTTTGATGTGATGAATTAAAATAAACCATCCGTCCTGTTGTGATGTGCTTGTATACAGTGATGAGATCATGTTTAAAAGGAAGGATGGAACATTCATGCTGAAAAGGGAGTCAGTACAGTCGATTGACATTGGCTGTGAAATCACATCTGATGTCATCGGCTGGTATGGAGATGTAATGAACAGGAATGAAGCAAAAAAAGGAAAATTCACAAGGTGGTTCTTCGATACATCTTTGGCAGTAAGTAAACCCACCCATACTCTGTCAAAAGTTCTTAGACAACACATATATAAAACACATAATAACAACCACAACTTTCAGGGTGACTGCCAACTGGACATTGATAGTGGCAATCCTGTACTATCTCCAGACGATTACTACGACAAAGTGGACTTGGACATCACCAACAAAGAATG